AGGACTTTACGACATAAAATCATTCCCCTCGAATCTACTACAAATCATTCGTTATCGATATTCCGAAAGCTAATAACTCTGAAATAAAATTCCTAATCCCAATTACCTACTCCGCCATGAAAGGTAGACTTTTAGAATGTGGCAGTTCGGCTGATATGTAATTTTTAATTATTAATTTTTTTTTTTTTATGAAATTCGGAAGCGCCTCGGACAATGGCAAAACGCGCGAATGGGAGTCGGTTTCAGGACAACCATATTGAAACGATTAATATTTTATAAAGTAATAAGAGGCGGTGCTCGAGAAAACTCGGAAGAGGCTCGGAATCGATTTAAACGCCTGCTTTCTAATTCAATTCCTGGGTTTTTTAATTCTCTGCAGTCATTAAAGGGTGCGTTGCTTGGCGCCTCGGACAATGACGAAACGCGCAAATGGGGGTCGGTTGCAGGACGGCCGTAATGAAAACGTTGCTTCCCTGGAAAGAGCATAATTGATGAGGAGCACCGAGCCGTGCTTACCTGAGAGTACACGGTGCAGACAATTACTAATGTATCCATTAATCAAAAGCTTATCCAGCCCGCATAATCCCCCGATGCATTTACTACGACGCGCGTTACGAATCGCCCCTTGCGTCGCGTTTACGCGCACCTACTAATTTTCCCGGTACTTGCGGCTCGACGAGGGCCCGGCATGTCTCCTGTCCAGAATATTAGCTGGAGAGGGTAAACCCGGGAATTCTTTTTGCCAAGATCCCGCGGTTTCCCGCGGGATAGGCGCTGGTTGCTCGTCCCACCGCGACGACGTCCCACTTGCTCCTCGTAATTGCCTCGACTCGGATCTGCTAATTACTGGTGTACAAAGTTGACGCTGGACTTAACGAAAGGACCATTGGATGTGTATCAGTGCAGAGGAAACAACATAAAAAATATAGAAGTGCGAGTATACGTATATAACATATATAATATATATAGAGATGTAGAAAATGTCCGAGCATTAATGAAGCTCCGATAATTTGTAGCCTACTTCTTGGGGACTAAAGAGATGAAAAATAGACAGATTTGAATCCGTAGTTTAAATAACTTTCATAAAGAGGTGGTAGAATATTCTAATTGGGATTGTAATGTTGCTTATACGTGGATGTTAGTGGCACGGAAAAGGCTAAATTAGAGGATATAATTAGAGAGGTACGAAAGCCATACGTCTGCATCCGTTATTCTACTTAAGACTTCAGTTAATTATCACCAGACGGGACGTCAAAGCAAATTGCCGCAAGGGATAGGACGTTATCTATTTTACTGCAAATTGCAATTTCCTTTCTGGATGGTGAAAACTGTAAAGTTCACTCCCGGATTCGACCGTCTTATAAAGGGCTGTTAACTGGAACATTAACAAAAGTTACACTTAATTAAGGGTAACTTGATTTATTTGCAGTACCGAAGCGACATCCTTTTTCAATCTCCGGGAATTTCAGTTATCGGCATTCGGTTAGAGCAAGTACTTTTTATCGAGGGAATAAATACGTGTACAAGGCAGGACAGGAGCGTTATAATTTGCTTCACCTCGACGGGTTCTTTTTACGCGCCGATAAAGGAAACGAGATTCCGCAGAAAATCCGATGATAAAACCCATTTAAAGAGAGTTCAACAAAGTTGCCGAAGTGACGCTCTCAACTGGTCTCGATAATGGGGTTACTCTTTCAATCGCCGTGCAAGTGGCGTAATTATACAATCCCGAGATCCACACAATTAACGGGCTTTCAAGAACGGCAACGAAGTTTACCCCTTTGATAATCCTCCACTTATCGGTACCACAATTTCACAGACATTTCGCAAACAGATACTCAATAAATATCAAGAGTAGAGGAGCGGCTAAAATTCATTCGGCGCTTTTTTTTTTTTAACAAGTTTTCACCCTATCGCGCAAGAAGATATCATAAAAGTCCATAACTCCAAACACTAAAAATCCCTGTTTTTGTATATTTCTCCACAATTTGCAACCGGGGATTTACAGGAACCCCTAGGGACCCTAGAGATCTCCGTTTAGCTGCACACCTTCTCTTTTGAAACCAGAAACTTATAGTGACCCCAGGTGTACCCGGAGACCTTCAGGGGGCCTGAATCAAGATTATAAAATGTTTAGCATTCAAGCTTTACAATTTTCATTCTTTGTGCAACTTGTGAGTAGTAATTTCCATTCAAAATGATATAAAATGCTCCCTTTCCTTCTGAACCATTAAAGCTCACTCATAGGAAAGAACGAACCACGGCTGTCTCGAAAAATCCGACGACTGAATCATCAGCTCCCCAAAATCGCTCAAAGGGATGCTCGCCAGATACCGCAGGAATGAAGGCTGATAAAATCTTCAATCACTTCCACCCAATATCCAAAAATGTATCCATTTCACCCCCTCTGAATCTCCCCTCCCCTACTAAATTTTTTTTTCAATTAAATATCACGTCATAACAAATCTAACACCTACAAGGAACCCTCCCTTTATCATTACCCAAGGTGTCGAAATTTTCAAAGTCCTCAAAAAAAAAAAATAGCTATGAGGTTGATCAAATTTTCTCGCGTCCTTATCACAGCATCTCCACGCTACGTTCTTATCCACCCTCGGGGGTGGGATCAAGATGACATTAAATGCCAGGGCGTAACCACCGAGTTCCAGGGAGGCGTTTGTCAAGAAGACATCGTTCCAGGAAAGGGGTAATGGCGAGTGATCGGCGAAAATTTCGCGAATGGCGTAATTATGCATTCTGGAGGGCTAGTTAGCGAAGTCTCAGGGGAGGACCAAGGGGCGCGGGAACAATGGCCGTCTAGTTCGCGTCCTGAGGGAGAGAAAAATTAATAAGTCAGTCAGCCGTGGTCCATGGATTCGTGTCCCCTTATCGGACCTCGCGTCCTTCTCGCTCCCTCGGCATCCCTCGGTCCATCTCGCTCTCACCCCTCGGAGCCCTGTCTCTGTCCCGTCGCCGCGCCCCGCTACGGGATTTTTAAATGAGAATTTTAACGATCGACCTACATTTCCGCGGCCCATTTACGGTGTATCGCTGCAATGTCAAACAGCGTGATAAAAGTGCACCCCAGAAGGGGGGGAGGGGCGGCGATCGAGAGGTTCGCGGCTCGTTACGCCGAAAAATCGCAGGGGTGGTGCACCCCATCGCCGACTTCGGGGGGAACTCACCGTAATCCTGTTTTCCGCCTCCTACGCTATCATCAGATCCTGGAGGAAGATAGGCAAAATGATGCAAAACTCGCGAAAACAATTCACACGATGCTCGAGTTTGATTACTTTACGCGACAGAGAAAAAATGGGATCGAAGGTCCCTGTATCGAATTAACATTTTTTTTTTTTTTTTTTTTTCTAATCTGGGGTTAAATTCGAGTGCGATGGCAGCAGTGAAATTAGTACTTGGGCACTGTACCGCTCTTGTTATGTACTAATTATATAATGATGCCTAATTGCTCTGTCCAGCGGTGAAATGTGCTCCTCGTCTTGTTTGCTCGACAACTTTCCTTTCATTAAACGTGGGCAGCTTTATTACAGAGGTTTCTTTCATTCTTTCGGAAAGTTCCTCGTTTTTTACGAGTTGCCGAGCAAAGTAATTTTACAGCACGTCGGCGTCGCAAGGTTTGGTCACATACAGATGTTTGCTTTGTGTTAGAGCTGGTTTACATTTCCTTTGCGCGCTCGCGTCATTATTTCTAAAACACGGCGAATTAGGAAAGCCCAGCTTCAAAGGGAGCTCTAATTGTGAGAATTCATTTTTAGCCCTCGGCGAGATCCTTTACGTTGTAATTTATTTCATTTGCGTTTTCACGTAATTTCGTTGAGCGGGGGTGCTAATTTTGCGACAATCCCGCTTCCGCCGGTTAAATATGTAAGCTCCGAATTACTCCACCATTTCTTCAAAGTCAAGACTTACACTTGGCCGACCAACGACCCGGCCCACGGCTAACGATAACGTTTTTTTATTCAGTATCTATGGCCATTCATTGGGTTCTCGGGGCACCCATTGTAAATGGGGGGGCAGGTTTGCATTTCTGAAGTGCTTCCTGATGCGATCCTTTTCAAGCGCCTCTCACTCTCAAAGATTGCATGGGCCTTTTGAAGCTCTCGGCAGAGAAAGTGCACCGAATCTCCGAGCTCCAAATCGAAGCTCGAATGTTTCGAAAGTCATATTCAAATCCTGATCTCTATACTAACTGGTACCTGCCCCACAAACTGACGTGACGATTTAAACCGACCACGTGCCTTGAATTATCGGCACATCAACTAATATTGTAACATCTGCGCATGCGTCGAATACGGCGCGCAGTTCGAAAGAAATATCCTGACAATTACTGGAAAACTTCAGGGCATGCAAGTCCTGCGCACGCGAAGGTGGTCCTTGTTAGGTACCTCTATCCATATTCGGTGGTGCTGGTACTGCGGTTGAATTGTAATAAAATTAAATATTTATGCCGTAAACTTAAGTCAGAGGTAAATTTCGCCAGAGAATGAGATGGAGCGATAAGGACAACGACGATCCCTATCGTACAGACGCCAGTCTAAGGACCTACGGCGAAGGACGTGACCAACACCTTCTGTCACATGCGGGAAAACTTGGAACGACTTTACAAATTTCTTGGACGCTCTTGACAGAGCTTTAAAGTTTAAATAAGACGAACAGCAGGTGCATTTTAGACGTTGAATCGGTCCGACACGGACAGTTCCATAGAGGCTTGGTTTTCGAGTTAGGCAGATAATCTAACATATTAATTATTAATTATAAACAGGCTTCGTGGTTCCAGATATTTGTTAGTTTACCTTAGCGTCGTCTGCAATATTTACAAGCGTCCGCTTTTTTTTTTACCTCTACGCACTTGTGGCGCGATATTTACGGTAACAGCTGATGTGCCTTGAAATCGTCGCACGGCTCTCCGTATAGTGCAATTAGGTATCAGGTATTAGGTTAATGAATAGATCAATGGTTTTGAGGAAGATTCGTAGGTTACTTACCCGTAGGTGCGGTTGGAGGAGGAGTTCCTGAAGTTCCCGGAGATCAGCCCGATCGACGTTTCTAATGGCGGACAGCTCGGCTTCTCGTAAGACCTCTTCAACTTCTCTCGCGCGCTGGACAGCATCCGTCTGCAGTCCCCGGTTCGGCGTTGGTACTCGGTTCGAGATTCTGTCGTACAGCTGGAAAATGAACGACCAAACTTAATCCACAACCTGGGAATATATCTGCATCTGCCTCGAAATTAACTGTCAAGCTTGCCAGCAAGAACTTGCTCTTCTGCATGGCTACTAGGCGAGAGAGATACCTCATCTTCACGACTGACAGTCCATTTCGGAACATTTTGGGTTCGCAATGCCGAATGGTACCAAAATCAATGAGGAATTCCGAGATTTTCTAGGGTTCCGGTAAATGCCGCCAAAATTACCTTGAAGAGGTGGCTGAGCAAGTGCTTGATGAAATTGTGCTTAGATTTAACAGAAATTATATTTAATAATTTTCTTGTTGATGGCGGTTGCAATGTAGAAGTCATTTCTAATTTCATTTCAGGGTTTCCGGTCTTTACCGATACGAGGGTAATTATCTAACTGTAGAGCGTGTTATAGGTCGTTGTAAGCCAAGAATCACCATCGTCCTTTCTGCTAATGAGAATTGCACGACTTAGTTTCTGTATCGTGATATTTCCATATGAATGTTACGAAAATGCCCGGCGCATTACGTGGGTGATAACGCCGAGCGGAAACTACGACCCCCCATTGTTTTATACGCCGCAAAACGGAATGGAATCGTAATTTCCATTCCTATATTTCAGAGGCCCAGCGACCACTGGGATAATGAAATGTTCATATTTAAACAGGTACCGTTTGACCGCACGAAATGAATTATAGTTTGATTCATGAAAGAATAATTTAAAACGTCATCTTTATCGTGACCAACTGCCGCGCAAGTACTCAAGTAACGTGACGGTCTACCACGTGTATAAAAATCCAGCTATCCAAACAGGTCAACAAACAGTGAAAACGAATATTTAGTGATTTAACTTATTAACGACTTATGCAGAAAATTAAACCAGACAAAATAATTCGCACCGGATTAATGTTAATAATTCTTTCCCCTGTCGGATAACCGAACTTATGCATCAACTTTGATCCAAATGACCGGCGACAATGCAACAAGTAGAACAGGTGAAAGACCTCGATCAACGACACAAATTGACCCTTCCTTATAAGACGCGATATCCTATCACCGTGCGCCATTGGAGATTTAATAAACAAGTGCGAAAAAAATGACACCCTAAACAGCTACACAAATTCGCACTCACCAGCAAGCCCGCGATTTCGAGCAAATCACCGGCCAGCTCGGCCTCGCCGAGGAAAAGTAACTGGCAAAGGTGCATTTCAAAGGCCGAAAAACTATCACCCGCGCGGCATGACGTCTCACCACGTGGGAACGCGTGGGAAGATCGCGGGGGATGGGGTGGCCCCACTTAGGTCGGGAAATCGCGAGGCATGGGCTCCGTAATGACTCCAGGCATTGTTTATTGCCATAAGGCTTTTTAGGCCACCATCTTGGAGGAGCGACGCATGCGCCCTGGGGAATCCTCCAGGGGGTGGTTCCGCGTCCCCTTCGGAGCGCATGGTGGCTCCATTTCCGGTGAATCTGCGAAGCTTCCAGGGGCGAAACTTGCCAGGTGGGTAAAAGCAGAACGCGCAAGGTACGCGAGCTTTTTCCCGAGGCGTTGCACGTTTCTGCTTCCCTTGTGGGAAAAACGCGCAGACGCCGACCGAGCGGACCCCCCGCGGATCGATCGCACCCTCCGCGATCTACCTTATCAATCGCGCTGAAGAGTGCTCGGTAATTAGTTCCGGAATATAGAAAAGCTCGCCCCCGGATTTTCTTTTCACCATTCGCGCCTCCGAAACGAGGCCATCGGTTTGGATGGGCGGAGTTAGCTCTGCCAAGACATTGTTAATAGCGCTTGTTGGTCCGTTCAATTGAAGAAGCTCGCTCGCTGGTGAATTTAGATCATTTATCCTTGCTGGAAATTGGAAGGATTTGTCACGCCGGAAAGCAAGGTCGAAAGAGTTATCGCTCCTTATTTTCGTAAGGGGGGTTTTCGAGAAGGCTAGGAAATTGGACGCTACTTCTGCGGCGCGGGAGATACAAAGTGTATTCTGATACAATGAACTTCGGAATGAGAGCAATCCGTTTATAACACAGAGAAAGTAGTAGTTGCACGAAGGTGAAGAATAACTATGTAGTTAAGAATCTTCGTTGATTATATGAGAATTGGTTCAATTAATGATATACAACATGTATGTAGCATGTCCTGCCAATGGACAATTGCGGAATAAGATCTCGGGTTTTTTACACGTAACTCCTGAAGACTGGAGTCAGTGGTTCGTCAAAATCATATAGCATTTTAGACTTTGAAGACATTATCTGCACCGTTACATATCCTGGTAAATACTTCCAGAATCTGGGAACAATACTTTCCTATCTTTTTCTTTCATTTTCCTCATCGACGTTTGAATTTCGTTTTCGACTAGACCGCACCGTTTATGTCCACCGTAACGCAATGTGACGTCAAAGTTGAGTCACGTAGTATCTCGACAAGTTTTCGTGAAACTTTTAAAGCTCTCGAAGCACGAGAGAGGCTCTACGAGCGTCTGCAGAATCTGAACTCTAAGAGCTTAATTTCGTTCCGAACTTTGGAAAAACCTAAGTTCTGACGGTCCAACATGACGGAAGTTATTCCCTTATCGGAAACAGTGGCCGCAGCTTGTGTTTCATACTTTTGTCAGGCTTGTCAAAGGAGGTAAGAAGATCGATAACTGTAAAAGTTTATGGGCCCGGGGAAAGAAAATGAAGTTGTCACGAGACAGCTTGACGGAAGTACCGATAAGGCCTTGTCGTCTTACCTCCAGAACCGCTCGAAGCCTTAGGTCGTCGACGGCAGAAAGGATTTCGCCTCGCGTCAGTCTGCCACTCTCTTGAAGTATTTCAATATCGTCCAGCGAGTCAATGATCTCGGCGACGGCACCTAAAAGAGCATAGAACGTCGGTTAAAATTAATTTAAATTTAATTCATATCAATTTAATACGTAATACTTGAATAAATAAAGAAATAAATAAGAACTTATCAACAGAGACTCCCATTTACCCAGCGCACTCTACATCACTCCTTTAGATTTCAGAAATGTTTCAATGATAACGCTGGCAATTAGAGAAAAGTCCAAGTGGCAATACTTATTCTCCTCGAGGTAACAGCTATATTCGTTCTGTATTACTTTTGCTTTAGGAACGCAAATCGTCAAGGCATAATTGTAACCAGGGTAAATGTAACTTTTCCCTATGACAAGGATAATTCAATTGTATTCGGAATCGTAAACTATGTTCATTGTTACGTTATTAAATCGTTTGTCATGTCGCGGTGCCCCAATGAACGTCATGATTTTCTGCTACCGATTTACATGACGTAGTATGACTAAATATATGCACGTATGTTGCAACGGAAGCCTAATTACGTATCTTTAAAGAGCGCTGAAATGCAGCGATCCTCCGTATTTCTATGTAAATTCGCATTTAACCATTCACTATTTAACGACGGGTTAAATAAGTCGTGCGGAAGTACATGTAACGTCCATTCATCCACCGGAAAAATCGCGAAGTAAATGGCTAAGTACAGGCTTTGCATTAAGTTGGGACCGCATTTACAGTCGTGGTATTATATCTCCAAGCGGGAATTTCAATGAAAGTTTTACTGCGGGGTTGTTTCTGCAAACGGTTGAAATCTAAAATCTACAGCTTCGTCGCCGCGCTGCTTCCTGGCTTTTCATCGTCCCGATGAAGTAAGATTTTAAATAAACGAGATTAAATAAAAATATGCGTACAACAACCCTGGCAAAAGTTGAATTTGCAAACTGCAAGCTGCATACGAAGAATCGCTACAAACCGGAGAAATATTCGGAATGAATTTCTCGGTGGCCAACGAAATACATCCCAATAAATGAGCTATCAACCTACTGCAGGAAAATAGATAACATAGTTAAACCTAACAACCCCCACGGCTATTACAAGTCTAATTTTGACCATCCGAAATTATACATCACATTACCAAAGCAAAACCGCAGTAGAGGACATTGCGATGATGTACTAACTAGACGTATCTATGTTGGGGTAGCTTGCAGGAGAACCGCCGACAGAAACTTTTTTCATTGAAATATATGCTAAACAGTGTAACGTCATAATTTACGCAGTAACTCGCAAACATGACCTCCTATTCTAATTTACTTTAACGGTAATTGTGAGTTATGAGCTTTAACATCGCTGTGCAAGAAGTGGAGATTGTGACTGTTGAGACAATATGATCATTTTATCGCAATAATTCTAATGACATAGGAAAATACTCGTGCCATTTCGAACACGTCTTGAGACTGATATTTTTTTCTGTTGAAATTAAAGCATTGACTATGCAGCCTAACGGGTACTGAGATTTTGATATTGCAAATATAAAAAGTATATTCTAACTCACTCTTTTACTCTTTCTTTAATTTTCCAAATCCTCGGAGAGGACTTTAAATTCCCATTATATAATGTCTGACTCCTTTTCGCGAATCACACGTTCCCGCGCTTCTGCGCAGCACCAATCACGTTTCGGCACCTTCCGCGCATCACGTCCAGCCAATCCCGTGCGGCGGATGGATCGAACGACCAATCACGCGCCAGTAATGGTTCCGCCATTAAAATTATCGCAACCACGCGCGGCACATTTAAATTTAAATGTCGGTTTATAACATTATACCGCTTCGAAACGCGCAGTGGACGAATCAATTTCCGGTTAGAATATAAAATCGAGGTGAGAATGTAATCGATACGGAAATATTAAATATTAAATAAGCCAAGCGGTGGCAGAATCGATGAGTGAATTTTTCTTCATTTAAATATTTGCTTCCTATTATTAAAGAATATGCAACCGTGAGTACGATCTCGACCTAAGATGTGCAATGGTCAATCAATTCTATGATATAAAAACGAATCATTCGTTTAATAGGCCTTGATAGTGTTACATTGCCACTAGAGATCGACATGAATTTCATTAAAAGTTCAGAATAAAAATAAAACTGATCGATCATTGCAGTACATTCACGGGTACACATTTGCAATGCTTAATGTATAGACGCGCATCATAAGAACGAATATGCCTATCAAATGTACATCGCAAATACATTTGGTCCCAATTGAAATGCACGATACCACGGAAATCTGAATAAAAAAAAAACAGCAAAAAATTGTACACGAGCAGAGACGGAAAATCTCAATCGCATTAAAAAGGCAAACACTTGATTCATCACCCAGTACGTCAATAAACTGTTACTTCGAAATTATTCGATTACCCAGCACGGCTCGACATTGCACACTTGAAACCCGTTCGATTACAAGTGCCCTTCCGGACCCAACGAATGTAACGTCAATGTACAACGTCTACTCCGATATCGCGAATGTTGATATCCAGCTATCTCCTGCACTCGATAAACGGTTCAATTAAAACGTCTTAAATCAGCGCGCTTAATACTACTTAAGATGTCAGCATTTCGGTGTCCTCAAAAATAATGAAGTTAATACAGTAGGTAAGGTCCTGTAGAGAGTACAGAGCTGCAGCCGGTTTCGGTGAGCCAGCAATTATCCGTGGATTTCTTAGCTGGGACCAACTTGGACTTTTCTCCTTATCTATCAGCCATTTTAAGGGAGGTCTAGCAGGGTCTGCCCTGGGATATAATCGCGCCTGTCAGATCCGAGGGCTGAAAAGGCCCGGGACAAGATCGGCTCGTTATCGCGGAGGGTCGAGGAGCGTCTTCGGAAGTCTTCGGCCCCGTTTTAAGGAGTCCTCGTCGTCGAAGAACGGAATCAGAGGAACGCACTTCGAGGAGTGTCGTGGCGAAAGGCGGGGTCGCTCTTTCAATTCGAAAACGAAGACCGCCCGTCGGTCGGGCTGGAAGAGAGGGTTGGAAAAAGCTGGGGGAGAGGGAGAGAGAGAGGCGGGTCGATGGCGTCGGTTCGGCACCGCTCGGCGAGCTTTTTCGCAGAAAGCTTGGATGCTCCGGAGAGGATCGGTCATTACGAAGCCCCGATCTCGGCCGAGCGCATTAATTTGCGCACACACCTGTAGTCGTGACCTCGTCATCCCCGACATCGGAAAAGCTGTCGCCATTGGCCTCCGCGTAAGGGGTGTGCCACTTCGAGGAGGAGACGGCCGCTATCACTGCGTCCTTCAGTTTCCGCCTCGCGTTAAATTTCTTAAGCTCTTCTATAGTCTCCGCCAGGTGCACCCGGACCGCGCCCTTGTCCCGATCCTGAAAGGCAGCAAAGAAGATTAGACGCGAAGCGCCGTTGATATGGTACACCGTGAAATATACAGGGAGGGGTCGTGCCAGGGAGACGAGGAGCCGAGGAGGAGGAAAAATAGAGAGGAAAGACGTTCCGCCAATAATACCTCTATCGATTGGAATTATTCCCGACGTTTTCGTTGGTCTTTGAACAAAATATGACATTCGGCTGGACCAAAGGGAACTTATTTACGAGACGAGGGATACGTTATGGGAGGGTTTTTCTCTCTGGTCCGCGTCTATAAATTTTCCCTGTTTTTAGTCACTTCAGGGTTTCTTCCTCGAAGTCTTTCCTTCATCCCTTGTTTGCGCCGTTTACCGGAGTGCGGTGGAAAGTAACATAAATTGAATCGCATACGCGCGAGGAAAATTGGTATCGCCGTCGTTCCACCCTCCTTTTCTTTTTCGTCCTGACCCAGAGCACGGGACCACTTGCAATGATTCACGGCGGTGGTGCCCATGGACTCCCTTTCTCCCTGGGACGTCGTTTCAATCTTTCCACCCACATTGGCATAATCCATACGCTATAATTCTAATAAACGATCCAGTAATGCGGAGGAACATCCATGCTCGACAGACGTAAATGTAGGATTAACATCGCGCCGTAGCCACCCCTCATGTGCGAAATTTCCGTTACCATAGACTCCTGGCCATTCGGCATGAGTAATCGCACGATAGAGTCAGAAATTACCCAGACGCTCCCGAGTATATCAATTTACTTTATCCAGTGCGCGATTATTACCAACACATACCTGGTACAAGAAATCGTATACAGGATCGTCTCGCCCTCCCTTTGATAAGTCCCAGTCTCGAGTTCTCGTCTTAAGTTCTCGTCTCACTTAATCCTCGGCTTATCAAGTTCTATACGATCAAAGATCGGTCGTTAAAATGAAGCAATAAAGCCCCCACCACCTGAAATCTGCATCGCGCCGCAAACTGCCGTTCGATAGACCTCAATCCCCGTCGTCGGTGCATCGATTAGGTGTTCGATTTAATGACGGACATTTAACACCTGGAGACGTCGCCCGATCAACCTCGACTCCGTTCGCGAGTCATCTTATCAGAAAAAGGAATCGCGAAAACGCGCGCATTTCCCGGGGGATCTTCGAGGAACGGTTTTTCCTGGATCGATCGGGAAGGGTTGTCGACCCCATGGAAGCTCGATCGAACGTCAATTAACGACTTAGAATTCTAGCTCGCTGTAAAGCTGATAGCAGGCCTCGGCTAGGCTGCACGCAAGAGCACCGGGGCGCGGGTAAATAATATTATGTGACGCCGTAAATACCTAACCGAGGGAGGAGGCATCGGCGTGACAAAACGTATGTGTGGGGCCCGCCGTAGGAGGAATACTTTGCTACCCTCATTTTCATTGACCGCTCTTAGGCTTTACCCCTCCGAATCGATAACCCACTTGCATGTGTATCGCATCGACACACCGAGTCTCGTGTGCCCCTTCCTTAGTTCACTGGCCAACTGCTCGAGCGTGCCGTCATCCCTGTCCGCCAACAGTTGGCTGTTCTTTTGCGTGACCATGTAATTTATGCTCGTACCTACCGGCCGTGTGGGTTTACCGACTACGCTCTAATGTGCCCTGGGCGCTCCACCAGCCCGGGAACGAGGGTAAACGAGTGCGAGCTCGTTAAAATATTGCTATTAATGCGCACCCCCACTCTCCGACGATCCCGACCATTGGATTTCTCTCGAGTGGTTCGGTGAGACTCCTCGGGGATTTTTTCATTCTTTATTTTTCAGATTTTATCCGAGGTTTATGCGAGGTAATAAGGTCATTTCAGGATGCAGGCGATAGGTGTTTAGAGCTGCAGGTGTGGGAGGCAAATGCGATATCAAAGACTGGAATAAAGATCCCTTTCGGTAACGATTAGCAGGGGCTGAGGCTCGGGTAGTTATTATTTGCCAATGGGATTTCAATATTTCGGCACTGATTTAATAGATGACCCGGGGAATTAGTTGACTAATATTTTATCGATCGATGTGTAGCAAGGGCCAAGGACGAAATCTGGGGAAATGTTTGTCTTCCTTCATGTGAACCTTGGTCCACTACGCAGAGTTCAAGTGGAAGGTAAACTCTCTCGATGACTTTACTCCTGTCCAGAACTTCCCTCCATTTAAGGGCCATTTATGATTGACGAAGTTCCGAGACATCCTCCTGGGATTTTAATCCGCAGATTCTGACGTGAGACAATTCAATGGGTCGAGAATGGTAGCAGACTTGAGGACGAACGAGAGGAATTATTAATGCGACTTCCAAGGACTGCGTTTAATAGTGAGATATTCTGAAATACATGTTTCTAGACCCTCAAAGATTGCTTTTATCGGACCTGGAAATATTTGACGGACCGTTTGGCAGAGACAATAATTCGTTATTGTAGATTAAAACACAAAATTAGGTCATAGCCCGATTTCCTTGTTTAGTTCCATCCGTGCAGGAACGTTCTCTCTTTACGCGCCACGAGTGAGCAATTTTATTGCTTTTCGCGGGGGGGCCGCTTTGCAATTGAGAAAATCCCGTATCGCGAGCGCCACGATTTTTATTCATTCCGCTCCAATATGCCCCAGGTACTTTGCCAGATCGCGAACGAGTGTAAACGCGTGAACTCGTTAAAAAGTAACAATTAATGCGTCCTCCGGGGGCTACGGAGAGGGCAATTTGGTACTCGTTTCCCACTCGATTCGCCCCCTCGAGCGATCCCCGATACGCTCGTGAGGTAGTTACTTTATCGACGCATTTTTCTTTGACAGGGGTTACCGGCGAAACTGGGTCACATAAAAGACGAAGCTACAAGATATATGATGCTGTGCAACTTGCACGGGGCCACAAGTGGAGACACAATTTTTCATTAGGTCTGACCATTCGCGGTCGACCCTCCCTTCGGTTTCTACTTCCACTTTTTAGGGACTATTGATGAATGACGTGGGCTCAGCGAGCGGTTCTCTAATCAGTGAAAGAGGGTTTAAAAGAAAAATTGATTAACACGTACCTACGGAAATTACTTTCCTCTACTTCACTCTGTTGAAATGAGATTACCGGTCACCCGTAAGTAACCCATTTGGCATTGACGTTTCACACGCATACAATTTTTAATAAAGATATCTGTAATTACAGTGAACACTCGTGGACACACCTTCCGCCGTGAACTGGTCTAATTATGCCTTTAGCTTTAAAAGAAACTCACATTTAAGTTATCATATGAATACTTGATACTTCATACTTTTGATACGAAGTCTCGCAAGAGTTCGATCGGAGAACGAGAAAAATATGACATAAAAGTATATAAGTCAAGTTACCCTTTGAAGCGAAAGTAAACTCCAGTCCTGTGATCACACCTAACAGTTCCCATTTCCCAAGAGACGTGTTATCATCTGGAAAATTCTAAACCGCGCTTCCTTTCATTTCTACCCGCCGTTCTGTGATTTTCCGCAAAACGCTTCAACAAAATCGCGGACGCGTATAGATTCGCGAATGTTACAACGTAACGATTAATTTAAATACATGGGAACTGCGTCAAACAATTCGGCCTTCGTTTCCCTGTGAACGGTTCATCGATTCGCGTTTTCGAGTGAATCTCAATACGCCAGCTAGGATGATACTTTATCAGCGTATTGTCATCTGTCACAAGAACCCTGAGCGAAACTGGGTGACGCACGGTTAAAAATTCCCGACACTTATATCCCTAAAACCTAAATACATGAAAACATATCCAAAAATTCATAGCCTTGACTTAATCATCAACATTAAATCGGAGTAAAATTTTTCCCCGGTTGAAAAAAAAAAGATACCGATTAAGAAAAATAAAAATCACGACCTAGCTGTTTCTACTTGCAACGCATCGACACGTCCTTAGAACTTGTGCAAGCCGTGAACGAGGTTAAACGTACGAGCAGGTTAAAAAATATAAATTAACCCCCCCTCGGGGAGTTTCGTGGAGCCCTTCGGCGCTCGTTTCTCCACGTACGACTTTCCGAGTCGCAATCGAGCCACCCTCGACGCCCTCGTCGGCTTGATATTCTATCGGTGAATTTTTTTTTAACGGGGATTACCGATGGAACTAGGTCATACCGAAAACGCACCTACTGATATTCGATCCGCATATCGATGAAAAGTGCCTAGGCGAGCAGGCTGACTCATTATTCCCCAGCCGATCCAGCCATTCGTGCGTGAAAGTCCACTTATCATAAGCCGCGGGTAATCAAGGCATCCCCAAACCGTGATTCCAGGTCTTTTGTTAAATGCCCCTGACGTGCCCGAAGATAAATCCGTGACCCCGATGGGAAATCAAAATTACCCCCGCAAGTTATATCCGCTGATTCGACCCTCGTTTCCCCGTGATAACGCTTCGAGTGGCAGCATCCGCGACCCCTGATACTCTCATTAGGCTGCTCCCTTATCGGCGAGTTTTTCTTTTTCGCAAAAGTTGCAGGCTGGAACTAGGCCACGTAAACCAATACGCGATCCTTATTCCGGTGCAAGGTGCACAAGTGGACTCATTATGTTTCTCTTGGGCCAGGCGGCCTCGAGATTTCGCTCCACTTTCCACGAGGCTTACGTGAACGCGAATACGCCGAATTCTGTTACCGAAATTCCGTTAACGCCGTCTCGACGAAGGAATTCTGCTCGATAATTCCCCCTCGTTTAGCTGACGAATAGACGGTAGAGTTTGTACAAACGGTGCGAACGTTGGGAAGCCTACAACGGGGTCTTTGTACTGGTGGTTACTGAAAGAGTGTCAGTAGAGTGAACGACTCCATTCACTGCTCATCAAACAAGTAAAGCAGTGAATAGAGGCTCCAGAGTTATCGCGTGTGCGAGATAGCTGATTGTTATTCTAACATCCTCAATAAGGCACTTCTTTCCCCATGGAAGGCTCGTCAAGACGCCCTCTTCAGCATCCCCGGTACTCTCTTCAAGTTGTTCACTTACGGGGTGAATTTTTTAACAGGGCTTGCCGGCGAAACTGGGTTCGACAAAGGACAAGAGAACGGAAACGTCGTCCCTGGACTGATTTAGGTTCGCGGAGGTGGACGAAAGGACTCGTTGAATTCCACTTGGTCAAGGCATTTACGGCTGAGAATTCCCTTCCACTTACTCGGAGCCATTTGTGGTTGAGAACCTCCTGAATCGTGATCCTGTGATTCACGTCGGTCGTTAGCATCCTCTGGATGAGATCCTTTGCGGGCTCACTGATGGAATCCCAGAGTGACGTTTCCATCTGCAAACACGTTCGATAAATCAAAGGGCTCCGATCGCGCTCACTAGCCGGAGGCCAATTAAAAAATGATCGGAAAAAAAGTAGGCCGGTCCAAAAAACCTGCTTCCCTAAGAACCTAAGTACTCGTTCGTTTGACAGGACATCGAGGATCCCGCTGGCCAGGAACCAAATTGGGATCGAGATACTTCCCAAAATGTACTCGGTCCACCATCGACCGTACCCAAATTAAATTACCCTGCCACGATATGATTTTCTATTTTCATATTAAATTGAGGCATCGTTTAACGATTGTATGAAGCGAGGTAGATACCAAATGAGAAAGGAATTTCTTAAAGTACTGAAATATCGTTATCGGTAGCTAATTCTGGAATCAGAGGGATCTTGCAACGTGTGCCACTCCTTTGATTTATCCTTACAGCCTTCGGCTCAAGTCCTTAGAGAAACGTCATGGACTCTCGGAAAAGTCAAAACGAAGTTCATTTCACCCTTACCTGAACACGACCTCGACAAATCGCATCTCGCAGGCGATCTCTCGAGCCGACGAAAGGTAGAGTGCCTGTCAGAAGCACGTGGAGGAGGACCCCGGCTGACCACACATCTCCCGGTTTCCCATACTGCCGACGTTGAACCACTTCCGGGGCCATAAAATGTGGACATCCAACTCGTCCTGCGTGTTCGGGACAACAAGAAGAGCGATTAACATTCCTCGTAAAAAAGCCGCGAATTTCCCCGCGGCCCTGTCGTCATTCTACAAGGCTAGCCCGTGGCCACGTGCCGGAAAACTTAAACGCAAGCCCTAGTTTTACAGGTCCACTTGAAACACCTGCGTATGTTTTTTCCCCTTCCGACGAAGCGTACAAACGTTTCCTAAAAAATAAAACCAACGATGACGAGGCGCGTTCAAATGTTTTTCCTAAAATTCATTTCCGCCGGAAACAATTTTTCAAGCCCGGTTAAATAAAGGGTCGGAAATACCACCCGTTGGGGGAGGATTGTTTAAATGTTTGTTTCAAGTGGACAGCATTGCATGGTGAATTCAGCCATGGGAAAAAGTGGCAAATTCGACGAGACGCATTACCGTTGACGAGGGCGCGTTTGTTATCGGCGCTTATCGATAGAATTTGCCAAATTTGCTCGTCCACCAGATTCGCTTCTCTCATTGTCAAACGGAAATGCAAACTTTGTGCCGAACTAATCAGTTCGCGTCGAGCGAATCTAACGTACGGACAAATCAGACGTTAATTTTAAGTGCAAATCGAGTTAACGCCGATGTCACTTAGAAATTACCGCCGCACGAGATTTACCACTTTTTCTTACATTCTTACGAAACTCGCCGCCTGCTATAGCGAAACTAATTTCTCGCACTAAAAACGCAGCTTCCAAAAGCGATGTGTGTACGAGCATATGAATACATTGTAACGTGATGTACCTTAACCAATTTGAAACATGAGTCGGACACATCAAAATGAATCGACCCGTCCTGGGACGATCGTCCTGGCACGAACAAAATTCATTGATAAAAGCCGGGTCACCTTAAAATTAAACCTCGGAGGACTACGATCTATCAAATTTCCAACTACTCCCTTTCCGTAATTAAACCCTCGCTTACAGCAGCAAATCCGAAATGAAATAATCCCAACGAGGCGCCGTAAAATACCCCGTTAATTACCCGGGCCCACCTGTAAGCGCGTAATGTATTGTCCGCGTTTGCGCCGTAGTTTACATAATTTACATAATTACGGTGGACGCCTAAATGTCGCCGAATTTGCGGGACATGTGTACCGATGATGTGCGAGATGGCCTTTACTTCATCAACGAGGTTATCGGTGACAGGACGGTGCCCGGGACGGTGGCAGATTTTCCACAAACGTTCATCAGCGTGCCGATCGATGACAACTTAGGCTAACAGTCACACACAGATATCCAGGAATCACATCCAAAGCGATAATACACGAGACGATAAAAGGCGGGACTCGGGCGAGGACTTGGGGGGCCTTAAACCTAGAAGCGCTGACAAGGCAAAAAGCGATAAAGTAACATTTAAGCGAGACATACGCCAGCGGCTGAAAGCAATTGCTTCTCATCCCAAAGAGGCAGGACGATTTCGAGATGCATTTGCGCCGAGAGATCCGCATCCGGCACTTAAACGGGCGTCGGATTTTTCTTAACGCATGGAACGAGCAATCGCCACGTCCGGCCGAAATCGCCGTTTAATGTCGAGGCACGCCAGGCAAAATCCCTTCCGGGATTGACTTCCGGGTGGAGGCGGCGATTTTCGCCGTTGTTTTCCCCTCCTCTCGACTTTTTTTTAAGAACTCGCTTCTACCCCGAGAATTACGAGAAATGGTTTTCCGATCGATCCCGCTACCGGGTCGGGAGAATACCGCAAACCGAGGAAACGTGGAAATTGAAACCCTCCCCTAACTATGCCCTACCGGAAGCGTGTACGCGTGAAAGGGCCGCCTCTGTGTACGTAAGCTCAGGCACTAGCTGGAGCTTTAATCTGCGAGCTTTGCACCTAAACCGGACTCATAACTAATCTCGACTCCGTTATCACCGACGCGTGCGAATCTGCCTAGCAAGCGAGGAGCAAGTGAAAGATCCTCCGGGGATCTTCGATCTGCCGGGCAAGACTTTGAAGGGAGTCGCTTTGTCTTGCGAGCCTTTGGGCACTGCTGATTTCTAGAATCACTCGCCGGTTATCGCCCATAGGCTCCAGATATCGCGATCGACCCCCGTAATTCTATGGGACGCTTTGATTTCTTATCTAATTTCTTCTTTGACTTCGGCCCGAATTTCTCCTCCAATTTCTCCTAGGATTTCTGGTTTGATTTCCACGGGGATTAGGAACGAATCCTCGGTAAGGGTTTCTTACAAAGCCGAATTAATGCCTCGGGATGAAATTCGGATCGTAATCGCAGGCTTCGTCCTTAGATATTACCTCTCGTTGATTTCTACCCTATGATTTTATTCATTAATCCTTTAGATATATTTCTGATCGATTTTTATTATTTAACCGCTCGTGCGCATCCTCTTTCTTCCGTTACTAAAGTGCACTTTATCCTTACCGTTAAGTAATAACTTTTCCGTACACGCTTTTGCCTTATCAACGATTGTTAACAGTTTAACTTTAATACTCGGGACATTTTTTATATTGTATTTGTTCCTTACCACCTTGAACGATGTCACGTACTTGTGGATGTACAGAAATTGGTATTTTAACGTTCACGACTTCAGCAATCTCACCTTTGTTCCGGATTGCGAAATAATCGACGTTCAAAATTTATTTAAAACTAGTATCCTGGAAGTACAGACGATTATCGGGTCCTCGTTTCAATTACCCGCTGGTTGAAAATTACAGGATACGCATAATATATATTATGACAATACCGAGATATAAACACGTTGCGATAAAACAAAAAAACATTAATCATAAAATGTAAGAAAATAGTCCAGAGTGATAAACAGTCCGAATTATAACAGATATTAAATTGCTCAAAAATGAACAATTATGAATAAACATCGAGAGTATGACATGTAAAATCGATTAAAGGTAAAAAGAGGAAGAACCTACGTAAACGGTGATAAAAGTAAAATCATGCGTAAATGACGATATATCAGAGAGCCTCGTGCGACATAGCGACGTTGAGGAAATAAACATTTAAACGATGAAAAGTCTTCAAAACAGTCACATGATTTATCTCATGCCAAATCTAATTATCGAAGAAAGTTCATCTGAACGGTACTCATGTTCCCGTGTAACCATGCGATGAGTTCATGCGAATTTCAAAATCGATAAACATATAGATTCCGGCCAAAAAATTAGCGTCGAGAGACTCTCTCGTAGCAACAATTTGCTGCTTCGGAATACCTAATTCGTAATAATAAAAATTGTTTAACTCCACAGTAAATCAGTCTTCCTGCTACTCCAATCGATCGGCCATAAACGAAAGTGGAAATGTGAATAAATAATAAGTGGAGGAGGGCATTTTTCCTCGATTTCAACATTAACCAGCGCCCGTGATTTGTTCGCTACGAACATCGGAGAAGCGTCGCGTGTGACGAGCGTAACAACAATAGCTTTCGCCATTTCTCGTACAACGTTTCTGTCTCCACCACCCTTCCCTTGTTCCCATTCATTCCCTCGTCCCGCACCTTCTTCGTCGCCCTAACCAATTAGGGTAGGTTGGTACAAGGTTCCTCAATGCGACACGCTTGGGTATCTCATCAGAGCTAACTAAAAATGCATTGTTCCGCACATCGACCAACAAAGAGGGAGACGGACATATATAGACAGACAGACAGACGGACTATACGACAGGCTTCTACAAAACAGGCTAGTCTACCGCTACGAACAACGACGACACAGTCAGGTCTAACTTTACCGGGTCTGTCAACTTTAACTCTTTGAGCCCCAAACTCATCTCACTTTTACACCTAATTTAAAGATTTACGTCCAACTCTTCCGTACAAAAAAAATAGCTATTCACATTTTAAGACATTTCTCCATTAACACAAGTTTCTTCGCGATCGGATTCGCGACTTAATGCAGTTTATGATGCACACTTATGCACAGGAAGTGACATCATTTATCCACAGATCGGAGGATGCCTAAAAAAAATACTATCGAGATACAAATTCGACTTAAAAAATAAAGATCACCTTTGTATTTCTTGGAGGAGAAAAAAAGAAACAGGGAGACAGAGAACATGAGAAATCCGTTCCATAAATCACCTGGTCCCCTGGGGACTACGTAATTTCCGACCGAAGAATTTCTCAACTGTCAGACATGGTTTATTGATGTCTTCCGGGTTAGCCAGAGCTCTCACTGTTCCTTCTGCCATGCCAGATTCTAAAGACGAGGATTGCGATCCGCGAAACACTGGCAAGAAATAAAAAAAAAAAAGAAAAGAAAACTAACGCGAACGTATACGTACTCGCGAAAGCCACGAGCATTGGAGTCAGACTTCGAACCTGATCAATCGGATACGAAACGACTGTCTGTCTTTTTCAACTGATAATGACAACCCAAAAATGTGAATTTTAATGTTACAACCTTTGGATGCTAACCACGAGGAATAACGTTTAACCTAGAGTATCGATACTTTAACATCGCTACATGAGACAGTACGATAAGTTTATTTCGGGCTCAAAGTGTCAAGCCGTTTAAAAAATGGGGGAAACGTATCCGCGAATCTCCTACGAGGAAGCAAAGCTCAACTGATCGCTGTTCTATGGACCAGGTCTGTCAAAAATCTCAGGGAAGAGACCAAAGATCTGGCGATCCGAGGTGTGGGTACGAAGCGGGAGGAAACGAGGCTGGAAGAGGTTGATGGCTCAACGAAATATGGATTCGCTACATACTGGCACACAGAGCCCGTGTGGGCATAATACTAAGGCACACAAATCAACTGGACGATACTCCGTGTCTCTCAGGCTGACATGTCCGGACCATACGGGGGTAGAAGGAACCGATCGACGAGAAATCGATTATCGCTCCAGATCGGATATGCGCCGGAAGCTGATCAACCCAATTTGTCAAGGGGATCGGGCCACCATCGACATCTCATAGACGCGACAAAAGAACCCCGGGGGGTCTGATAATCGATTCGGAAACTAGCCGGCGACTCTTTTTCGACTTCGACTCCAACGAACGCGAGTCGATAT